TAGTCTTCTATAAAATGACATTTAGGTTATCAGTTTTTTATATTGTAAATTGCAACAGTGAATATTTTTATATCTGTTGCACAGTGTGCAGTACTTCTGTATGTAAAACATTTCTAAAAGTGGAATTGGGGAATATATTTAGTAAGTGGTTATTTTAGACTGAATGAAGTAATCTGTGTGTTTCAGGTTTACTAGATGAAAATACACACTTCTCTTTAGACCATGAGTTTCTCTTTAAAAAAAATCTGACGTATGCAGTCTTATTTTTTCTCTCCCTGCAAGTGATACCAATTCCTTTTCAGTACAGATAAGCAACAAAACTTCTTGGGAGATAGGTTTAAAAGAATCATACACTTAAAATCTGAAGGTGTGTATACCTTTTGTGATCCTCTAGTTCAGCTTTCTACTGAGGGCAGACTTGGTACTTTGTAATCCCTAATTTATGGTCAGCATTTGCTCACTTTTAGTGATGATGGTAGCTTATTCCATTTTTACACAGCTGTGGTTTATTAGAAAAACTTATCCTCCATTGAGCTGATACGTTGCTTCCTAATTCCCTCCTATTAATTTTGCTCTCAGAACCACAGAAAATTAAGTCTCATGCCTCTCCCAGATGGTATTTTTCCTGCTGTTTGAAAATGGCTGTCAAATCTTGATATTTTCTTCTTTTTTCTAAGCTAAATATTTTGTTTTTTTCCCTAGCTGTATCTATATCTCATATGTTGTGATTTCCATTTCCTTTTCCAGGCTGAATTTCAGTGTTCGTGTAGTTTGGTAGTACAAAATTCATTGAAACAATCACTTTCCCTGATAGGAGTATTGTACTTTTATAAATAGGCACTCATACTGGTCATGGTCTGACTCATACTGATCTGAATGTTTTCTTCCCATTCCGTACTTGTGCGGCTGGTTTTGAACATGAAAGCAGAACTTTGTATTTCTCTCCATCAATATAATCTTTTTTGGATTTAGCCCATTGGTCTAGCTTCAGAATATCTTTTTGAGTCATTTTAGGACTTCTCAGTTTTTATTGACTACTCCCAGTTTTGTGTAATCTGCAAGTTTGATTAGTGTGCCCCCTAATCTTTCATCTGAGTCACTGACTTGATGTTTGGGCGGGGGCGGGGGGGACGACTGATTGCCCCATGTGTGGTATATACCACTGAGAACCACCCATTTACTGAGGATTATTT